CTCTGCCACTGTCCAGAGACAAAAATTAGATCTAGTGTATGTCCTCCCGTGTGAGTGGGTGCACGAACTAATTGGGTCAAGTCCATGGTCGTCATGGAGGCCAAGAACTCCCGAGCCACCGCTGACGTTTCGCCCGCCGAAAGGAATGGTTGCTGGAATTGGGTATGTCTAGTTTAACGAAGAGAAGGACGAGGGGGGACACGATAGCAGCGTTCCAGTATCTCAGGGGCTGCCACAAAGAAGAGGGAGTCAAGTTATTCTCCAAAGCACCTGAAGGCAGGACAAGAAGCAACGGGTGGAAACTCATCAAGGAGAGAAGCAACCTAGAACTAAGGAGAAATTTCCTGACAGAACAATTAACCAGTGGAACAACCTGCCTCCAGAAGCGGTGAATGCTCCAACACTGGAAGTTTTAAGAAAAGACTGGACAGCCATTTGTCCGAAATGCTATAGGGTTTCCTGCCTGAGCAGGGGATTGGACTAGATGACCTCCAAGGTCCCTTCCAACTTTATTATTAATAATAATAATACACGCCAGTTGGCCAGCGCCCGAATTTTGGCCACGTGACCAGGAGGATTCTGCAACAGTCCTAAATATGAAAACTGGTCCCGAGTCACTTTTTTTTCCAGTGCTGCTGTAACTTTGAACAGTCACTAAGCAGGTTGTAGTGTCTAAGGAACAAAGCTGAGGCAACCACCTTACGTAACAGCCATCACACTGTGTTCTTGTGTTCTTCTCAACCCTCCAAATGAGGTCTTTCCGGTCTGTTGGGAAAGGCAATCCAATCTGCTTAAGAACTGCCGTTTCGGTTTACAGATTTGACTCTTTAATCCTACGGGGTCAAAGCAGCAGGCCGAGGTTGGGACACAGAAATCAGCTGTGGGCTCTGCTCAGCGCTGATTCTCTGTAGGGGATCAGCCAGGGCAACTCAAGCCGCTGTTGTTCGCTTTCTGCTTTTCCTCTACTGTAATTACTTATGAAACCGGAGAAGGCCCACCAGCACAGCCAGTTATGGGCGGGCTAGGGTGCCTTTCATGTCACGAAAACTCCACCAAATGCTTAAAATTGTGAGGGGGGCAAATTCACCATTCAGGTTGAACCTTTAGCAAAAGCTGTACCTTGCTGTATCAAGTCTGTCTCGCAACAGTGTTAAATCACAACGATCGGAAATTGTCAGGCCCTAATAAGAGTCACTTAGGTGAGATGGCTGGTTGTAGAGAAAGAAAGAAAGAAAGAAAGAAAGAAAGAAAGAAAGAAAGAAAGAAAGAAAGAGAAAGGAAAGAAAAAGACAGAAAGAAAAAGAAAGTTTGGTGTAGGGGTTAAGGCGTCAGAAACAAGGAGACGGTGGGTTCTAGTCCTGCCTTAAGTACAAAGCCAGCTGGGCGACCTTGGGCCAGTCACTCTTGTTGAGCCCTAGGAAAGATGCAACGGCAAACCTTTTCTGAAAAACCTCATCAAGAAAGCTGCAGGGACTAATCCAGGCAGCTACCAGGAGACACATACACACACACACACACACACACACACCTCCAAAAGCCATACTAGTTTTTTGTTTATGTATTAAGGAACTTGGCCACTGCTATTTATGGCTTAGCATGTTGAATGGACTCCCTTGTTTGTCGTTATCCAGCAAACTATGATTATGGAAACCGATTACATATACACACGTTGAAGGCGAGTCTCACAAGTTTGCCTTGGTGCAGCCCACCAAGAAGGGAGAAGGGAGCTGCGATACCCGCAGTAACTTTTCCGGCACTTGTCTCGATTTGGCTAGTCACCTGCCCTTTCATACATAAGTAGCTATTTCCGGCAAGCGTGTCCCTTTCATCCCCAAATTTGTTTTTATTTTAAGGCAGATGGCTTTTATCTACCACAGGAAATGCGGGAAGGAGCCTGCCAACGTAAATGAAAACACCCCTGCAAATTAAAGCGGCGACCAAGAACGCAGGAAACCTTTTTAATTAACAGCGAGCTTGAAAAACACGGTCCCTTCCCTTGTATAAAGCAGGATCTTCAGTTGCTAGAGAGAGAAAAATATTGTTTGAAAAAAACACAGGATCTTTCTTTGCAGAAATGACAAAGTTGTACTCTTCGCCAGCATGTTTGGGTGGACTTTGCCATCAACTTAAAAAGGCTGGAATGAGGTGGAAGTCCTCGTCCATCTGGCCATCCATCAGGTCAATTTTTGGTCCCTCTTTAACACCATATGGCTGCAAAAAGAGATGCTCGGCCTTAGCCAGGAGCCCTATCGCATCTCCGGCCTGGCCCAGAACCGAATTCATTTTGCCAGGTGCCTTTTGAGTCAATAATCACCCTGGCAGAGGAAACTTGAGGTTCAGACCTGGATTTCTGTGCAGAATTATGGTTTGGAGCCAAGTTGTAATCAAGCATGCCTGTGGGATATTCAACAAGCTGCTTTTACAGGCAGTTAACCCCCACAACTGAGCCACAAATGTCTGTTGCTAAGCAAGACAAATAAGTGAATTTTGCCCCATTTTACGACCGTTCTTGCCACAGTTGATCACTTAATCCAGTGGTGGGATTCAGCCGGTTCGCACCAGTTCAGCAGAACCGGTAGCTAATTTTTTTGTTGCCCAGGCCCAGAACTGGACTTCCGGAAGCGATATCCACACACAGAACCGGTTGTTCGCATATTTGAATCCCACCACTGAATGAATCTCTGCAGATGTTAAATTAGTAAGACGGTTTTTGACATGAATCTGGCTTCCCCCGTCGACTTTGCTTGTCAGAAGGTCACAATAGGTGATCACATGACCCCGGGGACACTGCGGCCTGTCATAAAGACAAGCCAGTTGCCAAGTGTCTTTGAGTTTTGATCACGTGACCGTGGGGCTGCTGCAACAATCGTGTGAAAAATTCTCGTAGGTCACTTTTGTTCAGCGCCATTGTAAGTTGGAACAGTCACTAAACAAACTTGTTGCAAGTTTGGGAACTACTGTATGCCACAAACCACGCAAACACATCGGAGTGTCCCGATTATTTCATCCCTTGTTCCCAGTTTATCAAACACACAATTTAGACTGAACATCCCATAATAAGCTGGGGGTGGGGGGCGGGATGCACTTACTAAGCTAACCTCTACCAGCTCCTTTGGGGATGGATGTTTTTAACATGTTAAGGATGAACTTTGTACCTCTGGATCTTTGCCGGAACCGCTGTTTAAGCAAAACGCTTACATTATTTTTTTTCTCCATTCCAGTAACGGGTGGATTTTCCCAATTCTTCCGCAGTTAGCAATATCCACAATTGCACTAAGCGCAGGGGTAGGCAACCTTGGCTCTTTTATGACTGGTGGACTTCAACTCCCAGAATTCCTGAGCCAGCTGGCTCAGGAATTCTGGGAGTTGAAGTCCACCAGTCATAAAAGAGCCAAGGTTGCCTACCCCTGCACGAAGGCTTCCTATAAACCAAGGGTTTGCGGCCAGCCTCTTTAGCTGCTTCTGACGGGTGTCAAAAGCAGGCGTTGGCCCGCTGCCGAGTCAAACGATGGCTTATCGAGCAAAAGGACAAAAGTGGTTTAAGTCAGACCAGCTGTGATAAAAGCCCATCCGTGGTTTCTTTTGCAAAAGCCCCTCGGTCGTTTGCTAGCCTCGCCGAGCGGGGAGACTACCCTCCTTCGCCTCCAATAGGCGTCCATCACCGGGAAGCTAAGTGGCGGGCGCGCTCGGCCGAACCCGCTACACGCATTCACACGAGACGGGACCGAGCCCTAAGAAGCATTTGAACCACCTCGCATTAAGGCGGTTCATACGATAAGCGCGTCGGGCCGGCGCAACCCGGAGGTCGTCCTCTGAGCCGGCTCCGGCTGCTCTCGCCGAGCCAGCCGGTGCGCACCGGTCGCCATGCCTCTCCAGAGGCTCCAGAGTGCGGACCTCCACCTTCCCGACCCCCATTCCGGCTTCTCTTCTCACCCCTCTGCTTTTCATTCATAAAAAATCTCCCCCCCCCCCACCGCGCCCCGTCCGGCCGGGAAGCCCAGCGCTGCGTAAAACGCACGGCGCGCGCGGGGGCGTGGCGTCCTGGGAAGTGAGGAGCCGTTGGCCAGCCGCGCCGGTTGGGGGCGTGGCCTCGGCGGGGACCTGCGGGGAAGCGGCTGCCGGTCGGCATTCAGCGAAGCGGCTGCCGTCCGCATAGAGGAAGGGCTGCCGCTCCACATAGAGAAGCGGCTGCCGTCCACACAGAGAAGGGGCTGCCGGTCCGCGCACAGAGACGCAGCGGGTCCTCACGCAGAGAAGCCGAGGATGGTTTCCCCGGCGCAGCCTCGCCTTTGCGCCCGGGCCGCGTGAGAAAAAGCCGGGACGCCTCTCCTCCGCCGGGGGCCAGCCTCGCTTCCGAGGTTGCCCGGCTCGTGGCTCTGCTCTGAACCGAACCGAACCCTCCTCCGGCTGCTCGGCGGGCTTCCTTCCCTTCGAGGATCCGCGATCCGGGATTTCCCAGCCTTGCGTTCCCCGCTTCCCGGATCGCTCCATAACCTTCGTTGGGGTTACTGTCCTTGGGCACCCAACCGCTTTTCCTGGACCTCTCCTTGCCGCGGAAGGTCTTCTCCACGGGCCCTGGCAGCTTTTGCTAGCTGGGTTCTCTTAATCCGGTTTCTGCTTCTCGTGTTCCTCCTCTTTGCCACCCCCCCGTCTTCTTCCATGCTGGGGGAAAGAGAGCCCCCCCCCCAAAGAACCCTGATGGTATAACAGCCCTTCATCCTCACCTTCCATCCCTTCTTCTGGTCTTCTTGATGATGGGGCGGTCTTCTCTGTTGTAGTTGCCCTTCCCCGCCCCCCTTCTTCCTCCTCCTCTTGACCTTCCATCCTTCACAGGGTGCTTCTTTGAGCCTTCTGAGGACCTGGGGTATCGTCCCCTTCCATGCCTCCTTAGATCCTTCAGCTGGAGCCCTCAGTTGCACCCCTTGGTCCTGTTTTGAAGAGACTGTGTAGACTATAGACTCCCTCGATAGTTTCTCTTTTCTCTTCCAGCTCCCTTGACACCTCCTATAATGGACTTTCTCCTCAGTGGGGTGGCTGCCTGTGGGGCCTGCCTCTTTACCAACCCCCTGGAGGTGGTGAAGACCCGGATGCAGCTCCAAGGAGAGCTCCGTGCTCCTGGCACCTACACCCGTCATTACCGTAACGTCTTCCACGCCTTCTACACCATCGGACGGGTGGACGGGCTGGCAGCCCTGCAGCGAGGGCTTTCCCCCGCCCTCTTCTATCAGTTTGGCTTCAACGGCATCCGCTTGGGCACCTATGGGATGGCGGAATCGGAAGGCTACATCCACAAGCGGGATGGACGGATCAGCCCGCTGCGGGCCACCTTGGCAGGAGCTTTGGCTGGTGCCGCAAGTGCCATTGTGAGCAGCCCTCTGTATCTGGTGGGTCTGAAGCCCAGAAGCATTAGAATAACAGAGAAAGAGAAATTGTCCCCACTCATTTCGGTCTGGAATCCCAAGAGATGCTGGGTGGAATTCTGCCTTTCAGAATCCAGGGGTAAAGAATGAATTCTGCAGATAAATCCAATGTGGGCTTTTTTAAAAAGAAAAAAGAAAAGAAAAACACAGCAGTCACCAAAAATCTTTCCTTATAGCTTTGCTATGTAGTGGGCTGCCTGGTTGCGTCTTTTTTCAGACCTGTTCCTTACTTTTACAAGGGTCAGGTTTGCTACTATGCTGGTTTCACCAACTGTGTGTGAGAACGTTCTCCTCAGGTTTAAGGCAAGTTTGAACATGAGCCTTTCACTGCTCTGATTAATAGAACAAAACACTGCTTCGGAAGAGGGTAAAGCATTCCTGAGAGAAACGCAATTTTAATTTTTGAATTCATCTTCCTGACGCGTTGCTTCTTAGGATAGTGACCTTTCTCCAATCCTTTCTCCAGGTGAAGACTCACCTCCAAGCTCAATCAGCTTCTGAGATTGCTGTAGGACACCAGTATCGGCACCAGGTAAGCTGACCTTGCTCTGTAGCTTATCGCGAGAAAGTCTGTAATTTGCTGAGGCAGAGTTTTCACTCCTCTGGATCTCACTGTAAATTACCAGTCAGTAAGTTTGCGGGATTTTCAAAAAGGGTCTTTCTTAGCCTTTCTTAGAGCAGGGCTTTTCAACCAGTGGTACGGGTACCACCTGTGGTACATTGGCACGTGGCAGGTGGTACGCGAGCATCCTAGAAAAGTGGTAGCGGGGAAGGGGAATGAGCTGAACCCGTAGCAGCACCGCACAAGCCTGAGCGAGAGACAGCTGGAGCTGCAGGGCTGACAGGGCTCAGAGGAAGCGCCAGGATCAGCGCCAGGCTCCAGCTGGAGCTCAGTGCTGATCCTGGCGCTTCTGCTGAGCCCAGAAGAAGCGCCGATCAGCTGGAATGTTGCAGCATCTCCAGGGTCTTGTAATTTACATTCAGATGCTTGGCAACTGATTCATATTTATGATGGTCACAGTGTCCCAGGGTCATGTGAAGTGACCAAAACCTGCTGCAACTACCCAGCAGACGGTGGAATAAAAACCAAACACCCCCCCCACCCCATCCCTGCTGCCAATCCTCAACAGAAATGCTCACAACAATGAAAACCTCGGACAGGAGGAAGAGCGCCGCCGGGCGGGCAGGCAGGTGTCTTGCTCGGCTGTGCCTCGGGGGGCCCTTTTTTCAGTGCCATTGTAACTTCGAACAGTCACTAAGTGAATTGTTGTAAGTCGAGGACTACCTGTACTTTTATCACTTTTTTCCTTTTTTTTTATCATCAAGTTTTTGACACCTTGCTAGGCGACTGGTGGTACTCGGATATTGCCATATCCTAAAAGTGGCACAATGGGTGAAAAGGTTGAAAAGCCCTGTCTTAGAGAACCTCTGGAATTATTAAAAAAGCACTACAAAAAGAAAAAAAGACAAATTAAGGTTCTAAATCAAGTCTAACGAAGAGAAGGACTAAGGGTGATATGATGGCAGTCTTCCCATACTTGAGAGGCTGTCCTAGAGAAGAGGGGATTGACTTATTCTCCAGAGCACCTGAGGACAGGATAAGCAGTAACAGTTGGAAGATTGTTAAAGAGAGAGAGCCAACCTAGAACTAAGAAAATATTTCCTGACAGTGAGAACAGTTAATGGGGTGGCTTAATTTTGGAAGTTGTAAGTGCTCCATCGCTGGGGTTTTTCAAAAAGAGACTGGACAAAACATTTGTCCAGAGTGATAGAGGCCTCTTGCCAGGGGGTTGGGCTAAAACAGGGGTGCCCAACCCCTGGTCTGTGGACTGGTACCGGGCCACAGCATGCCAGCAACCGGTCCGCACAAACAAGCAAAGCCCCATCTGTGAGATGTAGGCAGCACACAAAACCATGCACTCTCTGGTCCGTGGAAAATCCTTTCTCCACAGAAGCTGTCCCTGGTGCCCAAAAGGTTGGGGACCTCTGGGCTAAAAGACCTCTTAAGGTCTGTTCCAACCCTATTATTATCTGTGTTCTACGGGCCTTTTCAAAACTAGAACTAAAGAAAGATACCTCGCCACGAAATCATCCTTTCTGCACCACTGGTTTAGAACTGAACCCAGTTCTGCATTGGCCTCCTTCCCAGCATTATCCAAAGATGCTAGAAAATGAACTCGTGATTTGTTCTGCCACTAAATTATGCTCTCTCCCAATTTTGATGGCTGGTGGAGGAGCTTTTGCTGGGCACACCAGCCCCTTGAAGGACATCTGGCCCACCTCTGTTCCCATGTGCTGAAGTAACAGCCTCCCAGCAATGGAAATCGCTGGCAATCATTAATATTTCAATAACTATCATGTTGCCTGGAGCTCATTTCTCCATGCAGGTTTGCGAGAAAGCATTGTTAGCAATTCATTGGTGATATGTCCTCAGTGTCCCGTAGGATAGCCAGAAGCTGTGGATGCTCCAACACTGGAAGTTTTTAAGAAGAGACTGGACAACCATTTGTCTGAAATGGTATAGGGTTTCCTGCCTGAGCAAGGGGTTGGACTAGTTGACCTCCAAGGTCCCTTCCAACTTTATTATTATTGATGATCATCGCACAGTCAGCCAGATGTTCAGACTGGATTTGGCATTTTTGTCTACCTATCGAGTCCTTACCTGGGATAGGCAGATGTGGATGTTTGATGTTGTTGTTGTTGTTGTTGTTATTATTATTATTATTATAGCAAATAACAAGGATGTCATTCGTTTTCCCTGCCTCCATAAATCTTCATTCTTTCCACTCCAAGTTGCACACCTAAAGAAAAACAACATAGGGTCTGTGGTTGCTTAAAGACTAATCATTCTGTTATACAGGTAGTCCTCAACTTACGATTCACAACTGAGCCCAAAAATGTCTGTTGCTAAGAGAGACAGTTTTTAAGTGTGTTTTGCCCCCTTTTACGACCTTCCCTGCCAAAGTTGTTAAACGAATCACTGCAGTTCGTACACAGTTGTTGAGCGAATCTCGTTTCCCCATTGGCTTTACTTGTCAGAAGGTCGCAAAAGGTGATCGCATGATCCCGGCACACTGCGACCATCATAAATATAAACTGGTTGCCAAGCAGCCGAATTCTGATCATGTGACTGGAGGGCTGCTGCAATGGTTGCAAATGTGTCACATGTGGCTTTTTTCAGTGTTGTTGTAACTTTGAATGGTCACTAAATAAACGGCTGTAAGGTGAGGTCTGTCTGTAGAGAAAGAAAATAAATAGATATTCTGGCCAGTTGTTAGCTTCTGCTCAGTCTTTAAAAAAGCAATAAAGGCATTGTCGATAAAACACACCCTCCTTTAAAAAAATATCAAAATTTGGTATTGTGATTAAGTGGTTCAGTTTGGTCTAGAGAACTATGACCCTTTATGACTTGTGGACTTCAACTCCCAGAATTCCTGAGCCAGCCATGCTGACTCAGAAATTCTGGGAGTTGAAGTCCACAAGTCATAAAGGGGCCGTAGTTCCCCACCTCTGGGATAAGGTAATAGGCTAGACCAGGGGTAGGCAACCTTGGCTCTTTTATGACTTGTGGACTTCAACTCCCAGAATTCCTGAGCCAGCCTGGCTCAGCTTGGAAACCTCTCCCTTTCCCCTCAGCATGGCTGGCTCAGGAATTCTGGGAGTTGAAGTCCACGAGTCATAAAAGAGCCAAGATTGCCTACCCCTGAACTAGACCTAGATAATATTTTTCTCCATTCTGTAGCAAATATTCTTACATTGCCTTGCTGGAAGTAGAGAGAGGAAATGAAATGGCCATTTAAAAGGTCTTCACCAAAAAGCACGCTGTGTCATCCTGATTTGGGACCATTTCCGAGGCAAACCAGGTTAAGTCTGCAGCATATCCCTACCCAATCCCTGATTATTCCTGCCCCAGAGCTTGGAAAACTGCCAGTCTGCCTAGCTAATAGGGAGGTAGACTGACTAAACAGCTTCCTGGATCTGTAAAACGTGGAGCTTCTAATCTCTTATTAATACTCTGCTCTCAAAACCCGACGCTGGAAACTTCCGGTGGCCAGGCTGGTGTAAAAAATACAGCAGATTTACCTGAGAAAAGATTTGTGTATAATGTTCTCTCCTGGGATTGAAGGATTGAGAAACGTAGCCCCTATTTTGCACCTTTGCACATTCAGGTGGTCCTCAACTTATGACCACAATTCAGCCCAAAATTTATGTTGCTGTGAGATATTTGTTAAGTGAATTTTGCCCCATTTTAACGACCTTTCTTGCCACATTTGTTAAGCGAATCACTTCGGTTGTTAATTTAGTCACACAGTTGTTAAGTGGATTTGGCTTCCCCATTGACTCTGCAAAAACGGATCACATGACCCCAGGACACTGCAACCGTCATAAATACACGCCAGTTGCCAAGTGTCTGAATTTTGATCATGTGACCGTGGGGACACTACGGTGGTTGTAAGTGTGGAAAACGGTCATAGGTCACTTTTTTCAGTGCGGCTGTAACTGCGAACAGTCACTAAACGAGGACTGTTGAGGACTATATGTAGTCTCAGTCCCTATTTTGCACCAGGGTGATCCTGGAAACTCAGGAACAGAGAATAAAGAAACCACCATTGTTCCTGACGGCATTTTTTTTTTTTTTTACATTTTTCTTGAAGCAGATAGAATATTTGAGGTAGAGTTTAACCAGTAAAGAATAGCAATGAAACTGACTTGTTGTAGAAATAGGACTAGGATGAGATGCAAGCTTTCTTTTTAGATAATGAATGTATGAGATGATTTCAGAAGAGGTTTGTTTCTTTTCTTTCTTTCTTTCTTTCTTTCTTTCTTTCTTTCTTTCTTTCTTTCTTTCTTTCTTCTTTCTCTTTTCCTTCCTTTCTTCCTTCCTTTCTTCCTTCCTTACTTTCTGTTTCTTTCTCTTTTCCTTCCTTCCTCCCTCCCTTTCTTTATTTCTTTTTTCTTTCTTTCTCTTTCTTTATTTCTTTCTTTATTTCTTCCTCTCTTCTTTCTTTCTTTTTCTTTCTTCCTCCCTCCCTCCCTCCTTCCCTTTCTTTCTTTCTTTCTTTCTTTCTTTCTTTCTTTCTTTCTTTCCCTTCCCTTCCCTTCCCTTCCCTTCCCTTTCCTTTCCTTTCCTTTCCTTTCCTTTCCTTTCTTCTCCAAAGCACCTGAGGGCAGGACAAGACGTAATGGGTGGAAGGTCATTAAAGAGAGCTGCAATCTAGAACTAAGGAGAAATTTCCTGAAAATGAGAACAATCAGTCAGTGGAATGGCTTGCCTCTGGAAGTTGTGGGTGCTCCATCACTGGAGGCTTTTAAGAAGAGTTTGGACAGCCACTTGTCTGGAATGGTATAGGGTCTCCTGGTTGAACAGGGGGTTGGCCTAGAAGACCTCCAAGGTCCCTTCCAACCCCATTATTCTGTGTTTTATGTTCTCTGACCTGGAGGCAAAAATGATTTCTTCCAAGACATCTGCAGGGCGGGCTTTTAGTCAAGAATAGTTCAAAATCCTGCTTGCTCCTTATTTCAAGCGGTCCAAATATTTCAACTAGTTGAGTGCCGTAATGATTATAGACATGGATGCTTCTAAATGTTATTGGTCCTTTTCTGTGGTCTGTCTAGGGAATGTTCCATGCACTGTGTGGGATTCACAAAGAACACGGTGTGTTGGGGCTGTGGCGTGGAGCCATTTCTTCCGTGCCCCGAGTCATGGTGGGTTCATCCACGCAGCTGTCAACCTTCTCCTTTTCCAAACAATTCTTCAACCACCTCGAGGTACGCTGGGTTCCTGTGCAAAAGAGCTTGTTTGAAAAGGTATAGGAGTTACAATAGAAGGCCTGGATTTGGCATGGTGGGTCTAGAGAGAAGAAAAATTGGGATATGCATTTGATTTTGGTCTGGTCGTTAAGGCACCAAGCTAGAAACTGAGTTCTAGTTCTGCCTTAGACATGAAAGCCAGGTTGTTTGGGCCAATCACCAGGATACTGTGAGTTCTAGTTCTGCCTTGGGCATGAAAGCTGACTGGGTGACTTTGGGCCAATCACCAAGAGACTCTGAGTTCTATTCCTGCCTTAGGCACGAAAGCCAGCTGGGCGACTTTGAGCCAGATTCTCTCTCTTAGTTCAGCTCCCCACACAGAATTGTTGTTGTGGGGAAAATAGGAGGAAGGAAGGAGTATTAGGCATGGTCACTATCTTGAGTTATTTATAAAAAAATAATAAAGGTAGAATAAAACTAAACTAAAACAAACAACATTTTGGAGCAATGCCAAAATGTACTCTGTTTGCTTGCCAAATTCATGGTCACTTCCTCCTTATTCTTTCCAAGTCTGAGTATTAAATGTGTTTCTAATCCAATGGCTATTAATATAGCACCGGAGCTTAAGAAGATGGATTTGTAGCTAATTTTTTTTCCTGCATGCATGCATGGCGTCAACTTACTCTTTATTCCAAGGAGAGCTGCAAGTTTAAATTTAGGCTGGTCGTGGCAGAAGAGACCAAATATAAATGGGGCTTTATATGAGTACAAACTGCTGATTTGCAGGCAGAATCTAGCAGAGAATGTACTGTAGAACAGGAATAGAATAGAACAGGAATAGAAGAATAGAATAGAATAGAATAGAATAGAATAGAATAGAATAGAATAGAATAGAATAGAATAGAGAATGTAATGTAATTTTATGTAATGTAACGTAACAAAACAGAACAGAGAATAGAATAGAATAGAATAGAACAACAGAACGGAATAGAACAGAATAGAATATAGAGAATGGAATGGAATGGAATGGAATGGAATGGAATAGAATAGAATAGAATAGAATAGAATAGAATAGAATAGAATAGAGAATGTAATGTAATTTTATGTAATGTAACGTAACGTAACAAAACAGAACAGAGAATAGAATAGAATAGAACAGAACAACAGAACGGAATAGAACAGAATAGAATATAGAGAATGGAATGGAATAGAATAGAATAGAATAGAATAGAACAACAGAATAGAACAGAATATAGAGAATGTAATGTAATGTAATGTAATAGAATAGAATAGAATAGAATAGAATAGAACAACAGAACGGAATAGAACAGAATAGAATATAGAGAATGGAATGGAATGGAATGGAATGGAATGGAATGGAATAGAATAGAATAGAATAGAATAGAATAGAATAGAATAGAATAGAATAGAAAATTAGAATAGAACAGAATAGAATAGAAAATAAGGAACGGGTTTGAGAACCTCAGTCCTAAAGCATAATGCTCTTTTCTTGTGGGATATGAAACTAGCCATAGTAGGTTTATGGAAGAGGGCATTGTGACGCTCACCCAGTTATAGTTTATTTGATACAGCATGAGTAAATCAATCATGGCCTAATGGGAACAGAATGCTGGCATGTTTTTGCCTCACGTAATGGAGATTCTCCATGGGTCCTTTTACTTCACAAAAAAGGTAATGAAAGCTCGTAACCAACTTCCAGCAAAGATAGTGGGTCATTCATCAGTAACTTGAGTTTAAACATGCCTGGGATAAACACATGTCTATCATCCAACAAAAATTTAAAAATAAATAAAAAAGAATAATAAAATGAAAAAAGAAAAAGTACCGTAATAATGAAAAATAATGAATAAAATAAAAAGGAAATGAAAACAAACAAAAAAACTCAGGGCTGACTCGACGGTCCACTGTGTCTTTTTGCCCCATCGGGTTTTTTATGCTTCTGTGTCCCATCTAGCTTCTCCAGGAGGGCGAGTGCCTCCATTCTTTTCACATCCACAATTGTGGAGAGCTGCATTTCTCCGGTGGGTTGATCCTCTGATGCAGGGGTCCCCAACGTCCGGTCCGTGTACTGGGCCGCGGCATGCCCGCAACTGGTCCGCACAAACAAGCAAAAGTCCCATCTGTGGGATGCAGGCAGCACACAAAAACACGCGCCCTCCGGTCCGTGGAAAAACTTTTCTCCACGGAACCGGTCCCTGATGCCCAAAAGGTTGGGGACCTCCGCTCTGATGGATCCAGGTTCCTGATCTCTGACTAGGCTGGCTGCAGCTTCCAAAGCCGTTCTCTTAAGAGGTCTGCGTGTCCCCACTTCCCTTCTGCAACTTCTCCTCAGTGGTTTCTAGCCTTTTGTCCTCTCCTCTTCCACCAGGTCTTCCCCAAAGAGAGCTGGTTGATTGCCTTGTGCTCCGGGATGACCAGCAGCTTCATGGTGGCCATCGCCATGACACCTTTTGATGTGGCCAGCACCCGCCTCTACAACCAACCGGTTGGACCTGACGGCCAGGTAGGAAATGGGAAGAACGGAGAGGATGTGGACGAAGCCGGAACCCTTGTGGTTAGGTGGACTAACCCAGGGCTTTTCAACCTTTTCACCCATTTTACCATTTTTACGATATGGCAATATCCGAGTACCACCAGTCGCCTAGCAAGGTGTCAAAAACTTGATGATAAAAAAAGGGAAAAAGTGATAAAGTACAGGTAGTCCTCGACTTACAACAGTTCGCTTAGTGACTGTTCGAAGTTACAATGGTACTGAAAAAAATGCCTCTTAAGCCACAGCCGAGCAAGACACCTGCCTGCCCACCCGGCGGCGCTCTTCCTCCTGTCCGAGGTTTTCATTGTTGTGAGCATTTCTGTTGAGGATTGGCAGTGGGGGTGGGTTGGGGGGGTGTTTGGTTTTTATTCCCCCCGTCTGCTGGGTGGTTGCAGCAGATTTTGGTCACTTCACATGACCCTGGGACACTGTGACGGTCATAAATATGAATCAGTTGCCAAGCATCTGAATGTAAATCACAAGACCCTGGAGATGCTGCAACATTCCAGCTGATCGGCACTTCTTCTGGGCTCAGCAGAAGCGCCAGGATCAGCACTGAGCTCCAGGTGGAGCCTGGTGCTGATCCTGGTACTTCCACTGAGCCCTGAGAGCCCTGCAGCTCCAGCCGTCTCTCGCTCAGGCTTGTGCGGTGCTGCCACCGGTTCAGCTCATTCCCCTCCCCGGCTACCACTTTTCTAGGATGCTCGCATTACCACCTACCAGGTGCCAATGTACTTACAGGTGGTACCCGTACCACTGGTTGAAAAGCCCTGGACTAAAAGAAAAGAGGGGAATACAGGCAGTCCTTGACTGATAGCCATTCATTTAGTGTCCATTCGAAGTACGGCAGCACCCTTACGACCGTTGCAGCATCCTCATAGTCAGGTGATCAAAATTCAGACACTTGGCAACTGGCTCTTATTTAGGACGGTTACAATGTCCTAGGGCCATGTGATCCCCTTTTGCGATAAGTAAAGTCAATGGAGAAGCCAAATTCACTTAACAATTGTGTTACTCACATAACAACTAGGACTCATTCAATTGTGTTACTCACATAACAATTGTGTTACTCACATAACAACTAGGACTCATTGGTTTCAGGGGTCCCTTAGACAAATTGCTGAAATCCACAGCTTTGCTGTACGTCAGTGAAAACTCAATCATCTAGGGCAGGCCAAAATTATCTTAAAAAGGTTAAAATCATGGCAACTGGACCAAAGTTCATTAATCTGAGATATTCCATTACTCATCCAAGTAACTTTTATCAGTCAAAATAAATTAAAAAATAGTTTGGCAGAGAGTCAGAGAGTTGTTGGCACGTACCAACTCTTGCCATACCAACTGCAGGGATTTCTCCCCGAAAGGTTTTTATTTTGACTGATGGAATTACCTGGACGAGTAACGAAACATCTCCTATTAATAAACTTTGATCCTGTTGCAGTGATTTTAATCTTTTTTAGGCACCACTTTGCTGTTAGCCCTTCTTTGCTACCGTTTTTTAAAGTTTTAAATCTTCCAAAACTGTCCCCGTGCTGCCAAAGCAGGCTATGCCTTATTTTGAAGCTTATCGTCTCTTCCACCCTTATATCTGAGAACTGGGATCTTTGGTTAAGATTTTAGAAGAAATGAAGTTGTGTCCGAAGCAACATGAGCAGCCCTGAGTATAAGAGAGCAATCCAAAGTTCCTATCACAGATTTTAAAATGATGCAGAACCCCCTCCCCAAAAAAACCCCTTCCAGATTTTTAAAATCGTTTTGGCAAAGAGTTTTTGTAAGCAGCTGGTTAAATTGAGTCAGTAAAAATGTTGGTGGAATAAAAGTCATGTCTTCCATTTAGAAGTAAGTTTCAGTTGTACACGTCCATGGAGATTCTCAGTCATCCAGGTCCTGGTTATCCCAGAGGTGCTTTTTCAAAAGGCAACTGGATTTTCTTCAAGAAACTTCTTGGATGAGAAACGAAACGTTGTCAAGGAAAAACCGAGAGCCCAGCTGACTTTTGAAAAAGCACCTCTGGGTTTCAGCTACGCTAGTTATACACACAAACACATACCCACAAATTGTAGGTATATTTACCTGGATGTCTCCGGGATGTTTTTAAACACTTAAATATGAGCCAGCAGTGTGCTGCAGCTGCCAAAAAAGCCAACACAGTGCTGGGCTGCATTAACAGAGGGATAGAATCAAGATCACGTGAAGTATTAATACCACTTTACAATGCCTTAGTAAGGCCACACTTGGAATACTGCATCCAGTTTTGGTCACCACGATGTAAAAAAGATGCTGAGACTCTGGAAAGAGTACAGAG